TCTCAGATTTATTGAATCAAAAAAGTAGGTGCAGTGTGAACACAAGCTTGTAGAGCAGCACACTGTGCCAACACAAACAAACATGTTTAATGGTAAACCAAAACAACCAACAAGTGGCGATGAAAGAGGGCGAAAAGTTCCTGTAATCAAAACTGTTCTCTTCAGCATTTTTAAACAAAAAGACATGATGTAAAATCTACTGAGGAATATTAAAAAAGACATTCTGTAGCTATAGCCGAGTACCCCCCACTGTATTTATAACACTGTCATTAAAAGTATTCAGTTTCATTAACTATGAGATATTAGATATATGGACCCCTTCCAGTGACATAAAAAATGGTGTCTAATGGAAACAAGATACGAAGATATCAATGTTGTTTCTCTATTATTCTTATTTTTTTTATAGATATTGAGATTATTAAAGCTTGATATAGTTAAAGTTGCTTTTTGTTTTTAAATAAGGAGAGAATAAAATAAGATTTATTTTTCTTCACAATGCACCATTTTCATTCATGGCATGATTTTTAATTTTACACTCTACAGATTGTTTTGTTTTTATGAATGATATTGTTGTGGAGTTCTTTATTTAACCACAACAGAAACACGTGGTCCAAGAATGAAGGCACTCCATTGAATGGTCAGCTGAGTTTTATTGCAAACACACGTCACGTCACACAGGGCAGTGGTACAAACGTGTGCACTGAGGCAGGAAGAATGATTACTTCTAACAGATACTGTCCTGATCTTAAAACACTTTATCTGAGAGAAAACAGAAGATAAACAGTGAAGTCATGGTGACAGTTAGGGGAAGCAAAAGAGGACCTGAGAAGACTGTGGGAGTTAGACTTAGAGGATAGGTTATTTTTCCAATACAATATCAATTGTCCACTGGCCACAATAATAACGCATGGCCACAAAATAATTTTTTATCAGTGTTTACAGAGTAAAAGATTGTTGGAGTCAGATTTTGAATATGTTGTTTTTGTTTTGAAATGTTTAAAGCAGGGGTGCCCAAACATTTTCCCTGAGGGGGCCAAAATGAAAATCTGTCCATGGCTGCGGGCCAAATGCGTAATATAACCACATGAAATACAAATACTTTTAAGTAAAGTCCTTTCTTTTTAACGATTAAGCTGTGCAATGGCCCTCTTTTGATTTAGTCTGTGCACATGGAGAAAGTCTGCCATACGCTCAAGTAGCAAAGGCTCATGGGACATTTCATAAATTGATAAAATATAAGTTTTAGTGGCCTTATAAAGTGTGCAAATCTACATGTGGGGTTAAATCTGATCTAAATATTTCTTGTTGTCATTTCATGTTTCATGTTTAATCCTAATAAATCAAAGATACAGTCAGCACCATGAATGAAAACTACCTTCACTACAGCCGCGCCGGAGGAGGGGGACAACTGAAAACGGAGGCCTCCACCTCCGTTTAATGATGGACAATCTTTCTTCACAAAAATGGCTTCTTTTACT